AGTGCAATATTTGCCTGTAAATTTTGACTTTTGCTGAAGTTAGTCATTTTCATCATTATTTAATGCATTATTATCAGCTGAATTTTCAAAAACATATTGAATCTCTTCAGCTATTTTAATATTTTAGTTTAAAATCGAATTTTAAGAAATAACTTTAAACTTCTTTACAATTAAAAACTAATGATACATCTTAAAACTAATGATACATCATTGCGAAGAATTACTGCGTATTAACAACAAAATACAAAGCTCAATCGTGTAAAATCGATAAAAAAAGTTCGTTGTAGGTTAAATTAAAAACCTAGTCTTTGATATAGAAATTTATAGGTGTCGGAAACGAAAGCTTGAATCCACAGAGGTTAGTATAATTTGCCTTACAACTAGCACAGTAAGAGGTGCAGATCCATTTCCATTTCTGAAAACTTGAGAGAAAATTTTACGGTGTGAATTAATTTTCTTATACTGCTCTAAAATTTTTTTAAAAAGTAGTTCTTAAAACATTTTCTCATAAATACTACCTCAGAAAACATACAAAAAACATAAAATACACTCCTTACAGGTAAAACTCTCTTAAATGATTTTCATTAAGGTGGTTTACTTTCAACAACATTTTCATTTTTGTATGTTTTACGCAAACTTAGAAGAATTTCACGTACTTCTAAAAATCCATCCATAAAACTAGTGCTCAAATGGGTTTATTATTTTATTATGAATTTCCGAAGGAAACAATTTCTCTAAAAATAATGGTATTTTTAAAATGCGCATAACACTCAAGAAGCCTGCTCTACATAAAAGTATGTAGTGCAAACAAATAACAGATAACAATAGAATTCTCTAAAAAACAGAAAAACTTCCTTTCGGAATTTTAATATTATTTCGGTTGTTTAAGAATATTTTCGCCACAACACAAAAAAAGAGAAAGAAAAGGAAATTGTTGAAAAAAAATTAAAACCAAAAAATCTGAAAGTTTTCAGATTTTACATCACTTCCGAAAGGGCATCTTTTTAACGTTTTGTGTGTTACCTTTTTTTTATTAAATATCATGTTCTTCGCACTTAAACCTTAAAATTCAATTCAACAGCAGTATCGCAAAATAATTTTAAAATGAGCATATCTTTAGAATTTTGGATACACAGTCTCGCACGATGGAGATAAAAATGTATTTTTTTTTTCCATACAGTGTTGCCATAGCTTGCTTTGAAATCATTGAGTTTGTTAATCAAAAATTTGTTAAATTGTTACAAAATATGAAATCGATCCAAATTCCAAATTAGGGCTTCCAGATGCACAAATTCGGTGCAGGATTACGTTATTCAAATTTAGATCGCTCTAGGTACCGTTGTTTTATCACAGTGCGAGAAACATACATACATTTATGCAGATTCTTCACTATTTAGTTTCTTTAAATATAATACAGATCGATACGATTTAGTTGCAACAATTTGCAAAGTGAAAGTTTTCGACGCAAAATGCCAAAACGAAATTAAAGGGCCCTTCTGTGCTAACGCCCTTTGGGCTAATAATTTAACGAAACTAGATGTAGCTGCTTTATCAACCTAGATATAGCTATAATCACTTAGATATGAACCCAGACGTAGATCCCTTCTTACATTTCAGACTTCCCTCAATATTATACAGAAAACTTTAGAATTAGGTGTTGGAAGCACTACTGTTAACATCTGTTTTCAAGATACCTGAATTTAAATTCTGTGATGTATATAAGTTGTTTTACGTTTGTTTGAACAGCATAATAGCTCATCATTAAAATTTTTCTGGTTCCCTCTAACTTGGTTGTTGTTACTGTTACTAATGTACTCGGATTTAAAAACGTATGCCTAAAATATTTCTGTTACTGATAAATTTAACATATCTCAATAACTTTAAAAAATGTGTTATTAAAAAGAATATATTGTTAAAATACATTACGATGATTAAAAAATTACTTCAGATTGAAGCAGAAAATGCTTACTTATTTATGATTGCTTTTTATCATTTGGTGATACTTACACTCTGTATCTAATACTGCTTTGAGAGATTTCTTAGTCTATGACATTTTTAAAATTTCGTCCATTCGGATAATTTTTTGTAAAATAACACTTCCCTACGTTTTCGAATGTTAGTATATACATCAACTGCAAAATTATATAAAATACTTAAGTTTCTTTCCTATACTGATAAATTTTTAGTTTAATTCACTCAAATTAATAGCGATTAGTAAAAGCGAATCGCGAAAATGATCATCTTTGGTAAAGCAGTGTGATAAAGTTTTGAATTTCATAGCTATCCCTGCTTCTAAAAATTTACCATAAATTAACTATTTATATGTTATCAAACAGTAAAACAATACCAAAACTATGCAATTACCATTTATCTAATAAGTCGCGAGTTATCATTTGATTGTTGAAAGCGTACGCAGCACAAAACCACACCCACAACGCATAAATTCGTAAAAGCTCCTAGCGGATTACTCTCGTTAATTCATTGCCCTTTTTTCACACCCATTTGTTACATGGAACAACAAAGGGAAAAAATAAAAAGAGCTGCGCTACATTACAAGGCCTTCAACTGTTAATAAGACTCGAAACACAGCCACAAATGGCACGAAACCAACAAGTGATTCAGCTCAGCTGGTTTTGTCGACGACCATTCATTTAAATTTAGATAATAAATATAAGATAATTATACAAAAAGAGGATGTTTCCTTGAAATGAACTAATGTGTGATATATGTAATTTTAAACTTTTTCTAATAACATTAAATGGAAACTTCCATTTGACTTATTATTAAATAAATGCAACATTTTACAATCGCCATGACTCGTATTTAGTATGGAAATCTGTACTACAGTAAAATTCTGATTGCGAGTCAAAATATAAAAATTGAAATAAAAGTCAATGAGAATTATCTTTAAATTTAATTATTATATTTTTGGCATAAGTGTTTTTTCAAGATGGCATGTGATTTAAATGCAGAAAGAGATATTCATAGTTTATGAGGAAATTCAGCTGAAATTCGAAAGCTCAAAGCTTAACGAATATCACATGAAGACGTATAAAATTTTCCTAGTATGGTTATCAGTTTAAGGTTTTATACTTAGTTGTTACTAATAAACTGTAAATATATCAAGTGTAAATTGTAGCTTCTTACGTATGTGTCTCAAAAATTAATGTAAAAATAATAAAAGTCGCCCCCTCAATAAAAAATGATTTTTAGATATTCCAAAATCCAAAAGAAAGCGAATTTTTCTAACAGTTACTTATTTCGTCAGAAAGCCTTAGAGTACTGATAAGAGACACAAAATAAAAATGTAGTATAATTTTAAAATGCAGGACAAGATAAAAAATGTGTTATAATTTTAAAATGCAGGCGGCCTAAAATTTTAGAAACCTCTCTCTCCATACGGGTATAAATTGCTAATTAAAATTATTATGCTTACTAAGATTATAAAAATGCACAATACGATGCCTGATAATGCTGAATATTACATGAGAGATCCCAAGCTATTGGTGTCGTAGCAGATTTTTCAAATTACAGCTTTAGAATCGGCTGTCGAAGATCTCAGCAAAACTTCGAAAGCAGTTGCGTGTACTTAGTGTAATTCATATACGATACGGAATGATTCTAAAGAAATGAAATCAACTTTAATTATTTCAAAGATAATAATTTGGCTGTGATATACGGAAGATCACAGAAACCACAGAAAACGATCATATGAAAATATGTATTAATTCTAACGAAAATTTAGACTTACCTTTCTATTTACTGAAACCGAAATCAAGATCATGCATCGATTAACCTGTTTGATGCATCCATAACTTTCAAATCATGGCCGTTTATGTGTATAGAAGTTACTTCCCATATTTTGCTGCTATCACCAAATGGAAATTTTATTTTCCCCACTTACGCACTGACAAATGAATAAAAGTATTGAAGCGGTTGTGGTGATCAATCGTTTTTTTTTTTTTTTTTTTTTTTTTTTTTTTTTTTTTCTGAAGATGAATGCCACGTAATAATTGTTCATGTTAGCAAAAATACTTATCACTTCACAAACACCATTATTTCAAACAAACTAATGTTGTATCATATTTGCTTTGGATTATTTGGGTATAAACAATGAGGATTTCTTGGATGCTTGTTTTATTCCCGCTATTATGTTTTCTCTCTCATTCGTAGTTGACTCTGTTTTTTAAGAAGAGAAATGTAAAGTATGTTTTAAGTGATAATTTAATAGTTTCTGCCCCTTTAAGTGACTATTTATTTTAACCCCTGGTGATTAAAATTGCTTCTAGAGCAGTCTGCGCAGACACCCAGTCTTTAAGATGCAATTCCTTTAAATGAAGCACTTATTAAGACTTCTTAAAATTGTGTTCTGCCATGTCTCTATGCTTTAAAATGCAAGACAAGATAGGAATTTTTTCTGGGGCTTTCATGATCAACAGCACAACAGAAGTAGATAGAGACTTTGAAATAATTCAAGCTATTATCACATATTTCTAATAAAAATTCCGTCAGCAACCGGTCCACGATTTAAGCTTCCAATCTGTTTCATCGTGCCATCTGTTTCCCCCAACCGCAAATGAGCATTAAACGTATAAAAGTTGAGAATGAAATTCTAACAAGAGGGTCCCCATCGTTTTTCCCTTTCCTGCTGCCCCAAAGTGCCGAACTGGCAACTTTGAGCTGTAGTAGGGGAATGAGAATATAAAAGGGCGAACTGAGGAGTGAAAACAGACGGGGAAAAAAAAGGAGTTTTGATTAAGGGGCCAGGCAGAGGCACATAATAAAAGAATGGGGAAAGGGCGAAAACAAGCATGGACCGTCAGTCTTTGCTTAGTCTGTAGTCCATGCATCAAAGGTAGGATCTGACAGTGAGGGCGCTGTTGTCAAGGTGCGTCGGTCCATGTGCGCCGATAAGGGGAGTGTTAGCATAATCAGGATACAGTTGCCATGGTGACGCTCACCCTCCACCGGCTTTCCCATAAGTACGGAGCTCTCTCGGCTCTTCACTGAGAGCCACAGCTGGTACTCCTAGAGGAAGCATCACTCCTCTGGACTCTCCTCTCCTTCCTTACACTCTTTGCCTTCAGTTCTGTTCTCCTTACATACTCTTCCTATTAAGTCTCCTTTTATTCCCATTTATCCCCATACATGAATTGCTTTTTCTTTGGTTGATTTATATCGGCTCTTTTCTCAAAATGGAAGCTTCTTTTCTTTACTCTTCGATCTTCTTGTTCTTTATTTCTCGAGTTTAAATTTCTCACATACTTTCTGCTGTTTCATCGTTCTCGCACTTCGTGCATTTTCAAAGACAGGTTTCTACAAAGTAAAAAATTCCCTTATCCCTTGCCTCTTTATAGAAATTTAAATTTAAGTCTATGTACTTCCCATCTACAGACATGTATTTGTTTCCCAAACAGATACATGAAAACTTAAAATTCAACGGGGCGAAATACGTTCATAAATTCATTCAACTTTACTTTCTGGTCATTAACTTTTTATCATCAGAGTTAATGCTTTTTTCACCTATTTCGTTTTCATACGATCAGTGTAATTTTGAGTTTTGCTACATGGTATTACAGAAAAATAAGTTGATCTGTTTCCTACAGATTCTACACCTAAAGCTCTGCTCTAAATTTCTGAAAACTAACTTAAGGCCTCAAAATGAATCTATATTTTACGTTGATTATCTGCCGTTTTTCTGACTCAAAAAGTCTGTAGACGTTATTTCTTTCTTTTAATTTTACTTTTGTGGTTTGAGATGCTACCTGTGGTTAACAATCACTTGCTTACTAGAGGTAATCTTTTGAATATTGTAAATTTCCTTTTAATCTTGCAGGACTTTGATTCTTCACAAATTTCTGAAGAATTTTCAGCTTTTAAAGTATCTAAATTTTTCTCTTCGTTTTGAAGTTTAATTTTCTTTCTTTTTTCTCTCCAAAATCCTCTGATTTTGCTTCTTAACTTTTAAATGTCTCATCCCATATAATTAGGGCTTATATTTCATGAACATAGTTCATTTTATCATTCTTCACATCCGTGCTTCATCAGCAACTGCCGGCTCTTCCTGAAAGAAGGCTGTCTTCATCAAGATGGTAAAGTATAGCGTTTAGTTTAATTTTCTTTCATTTATTAAAAGTATTTTTTAATTTAAAAATTAAACTCAGTGCGTTTGAAGTCAGTTATTTATGCTTGCAATGAAATTTATCATAATGTTTTAAATATTTCTTTCGTTTATTATTATTTGTTTCCTTATTTCAGCATTTTAAAAATGTTGTGCTATTTAAGATAGCATACTTTAGTGTGAAATATAACATAAATTTTATTATAATATGAAAATATCTTATCTTTAAATAGAATTTCAAGAGTGCCTAGTAAACTACTACTTTGCAAAAATGCGTTTCCTTTAACAGTTTTTGTCTCATCGTAAGTCTGTTGCATATCCATAAGTTTGTTGTTGCTCTCATTGTCATTCTCGGACAACCTGAACAAAAAAAAGTTCCGAAATTCCTGCATAAATATTAAATACTGAAAATAAAAATTTGAAGTAACAAATAATTTAACTGCAGTCTAAAGCCGATATGTAAATAAACTGCATAACTATTCTTTGATATAGTACTCTACTTAAGGCCAACTTTAAATAAAAGAATTAAGTTTAATAAATTTATTTTTAGTACTGAGCAGGTTTGAAGTACATCAACCTCCCCAGTTCTAAGAGTTTCGTGAAGCATCACCTATAAAAAATTATGCATGCTTTGACGCCAGTGCTAGAGGACCGTAGTCATTAGTTTTAAAACTGAACTACTTTGAAGTTTTTTAATAAAAAATTTCCTTTCCATTAATTAAAAAATGCAGTTGCTTTGGCACTACAATGCTTGAAATGTTCATTATAGAAGCCCTTTACATCAAGCTCCTAGTGCTATCTACATGCACTAGAGGCAATAAGTTGTCTTCCAAATCGCTTCCCAATTTGTGTATCCCATGTGGTTTGGACCTTTCAAAAGGGGGGGGGCGGGAGAAAAGAAAGCAAAAGAAAGTGACGGGTGACTAAATTACATCATTGATCATCTGAGTGCTGATTTCATATCTTTGACTAAATTTACTCCAGTAAGCTGTTGAAGAGTTCAAAGGGTTAAAAAGAAGAGCTTATTGCGTTAGAAGAATCTAAGTACTAGCTGTGGTACAGCCGGTATCGATTTAGACTCCCCACTTTCAGGCAGACACAACCACCGTCCCTCCCATACTATCGCTCACCCCCATCACTTCCTCCCCCTTCAATCTTCTACCAGTACCGCCAGTGTTTCCGCCATATTGGCCTCATACTGCAGACTGTCAGCAAGTAGGGCAGCATCATCCACCGAGCATGCGCTGTTGCTTCTTACCGCAGCATAGTAGTCAGAGCACAAAGGTGCTCAAGCTCATAACGGACGACGCTTTTGCCCAGGCTCTACTTCTCCCTTCCTAGTCGTCTCCAGCGCTCCGGGCTCATCTCCCATCCTCAAACCGCTCTCTAGTGATCTTCATCACCGCACTACATTCTCTGCTTCGGCTTCCGACAGTAGACTAATGCGGCGGCTCTAATTCATGTCTTGCCCTCTTTGAATGCTTAGTTCTCATTTCTTTTCGGGAGATAGGTTAGTTAACTCACAATTGCATAGTACTCGCTCATTTGAACTTAGAATATTTTCAAACTGGTTTCAACTTCATTCTTTATAGATGCTGAAATAATCTAGTCCTGCAGAAGATGCATATTCATTTAGTTTCTCTGCGTAAACTACAAGCGCAAAGGAAACTGAAATTAATTTCTAAATTTTAAATTATTTTAACAAATCATAAAGACAGAATTTAATTTGAGAAATATATCATTTATTTCTCTAAAAATTTCTAATATGTATATATTTTTTTCATTTACTCGGATTATGTATTGCAATAACTAGAGCTCACTTCTTTATTTTTAGGATCCATCAGCTTTCTTATTTTGAGTCTGAACAAGTTTAGAAGATCAGTGGAGAGCTCTTTGAAGGTGAATATATTTTATACTTTAATAGAATATTTTAATTTAGATTTAATTTTTTTAATATTACATATTAAGCAAACTTGACATATGAAAACCAAAGTTTAGGTGAGTGGCAGTGTTATTTTATTTTGTAATATTCTTTTCATGGTATTGTTTCAGTTTTAAAAGAGCATGACTGAAAACTTTTATTTACACTGAAAAAACTGTTGCACTTTGTAACATCTTATACAATGTACCAGTATTATGTTTTAATAACTATAATTTACACTTAAAGGTAACATCCAAACATAATATTTTGCAAATGTTATCAACTTCTTTATGATACTGTGTGTCAATGCATGAATTTTTAATCATCATAGTTCTATAATTTCTGCATTTCACTTCTTTTTATCATTTAGATGGATTTCGTGTGTTTTTTTACGTTTTTCCATTACTAATGTTGTGCACTTAAATGTAAACAGATTCAAAACTAAATACTCATAAATTTATAGTACTTTCTGATGTTCTTTCATAGTTATGATGCATTAAAACCCATTTTTGAACTCTTAAAATAGTATGATATACTGAAATTTAGGATTCAAAGATTTTTCTTTACTCTGCTCTGAGTTAGTTACCATTGGCTGAGTTCTTTTTAAAAGGCCTTTGCTTTATTAAAGGTTCGAGTGTGACAGGTGAATTTATTCTTCCTTAAACAAAGTTATACGTTGCGCTTATACGTTTTAAGATTATTATTGCAAATAAAATATTTGAAATTCCTGTTCTACAGTAAACCACGCGTCGTTTAACATACACATTTTTAACTCGATTAAATATATATTTAATAAATATTTTGATCATTGTTCCTTAATTATGCTGCTTAAGATGCTGCTTCCACTATTATTTTAATCATTATTTAATTTTAAAATAATTAAAAATATTAATATGCTTCATTTAATGATCTCATTCTGGGAAAATTTAGAATTATTGCTGGTTTTATAAAATAAATCAAAATATAAATAAACTTGTTTCACAACTTGTTGTTTAAGATAAAATACCTGTTAACTTAGTTTCATTTTAAATGCATACAACCAAATATTTTTATAAATATTACAGAACAGTGAGTTTATTCCAAAAGACCTCTCGCTACAGCATGTGTTACACTCGCACTAAAAGAGGAGACTAAAATGATAGCATGAAATTTTGCTTGTCTAAGCTTAATGGGCATTATACGTTGAAGAATAGAATAAATTTTCCTATGGGAATAAGCAATCCAATTTTGAGCATTGAAAGAATACCTCGTGACGTCATGCTCCATCTGTTTCACAGTTTCCATGGTGATGAGGATGCGGAGGAGCAATCAATGAAGAGCGGAGGGATAATAACTAGTAGGGGACACATCATTAGCAGAACGCCGCTTTGAACTCGGTTCATCTTGAGCAAGCATTGATTATTGCTGTCTGTCATGTATGAAATAGGGGCGTTACCCTAATGCAAAACAGTGCTGTTTGTTTGAGATTAAGATAAATATTGCTTGACTCATCTTTTGAAACTTTCATTTCACATGATAGCTTCTATTGATTTTACGGAAATTAAAAACTTTAAATTTTATGCAGCTTGAAAACAACCTTTACATCTTACACACGTGCTATCTAACGATAATAATTAGTAATTAATTGTTAGATAATATTGAAATAGGGTATACAGATAAATGTAAGGATTTAGGCTAGATTTTATATATATATATATATATATATACACAAATAATTGCCTCAAGGTTCCCTAACTTCATTTTTTTAACTGCAATTTGTATATATATATATATATATATATACAAATAATTGCCGCAAGGTTCCCTAACTGCAATCAGTATAACAGTTATGTATTTTAGATAAGTGTTTAGCTTTATTTGTCTGAGATACGGCGAAAATTTCTATGTTAATGATAGATATATTCTTCGGGACACTGTAGCATATATCTGGTCACTTTCCTTTGCTTATTTGCACTCAGACAAGACGAATGATGTTACACATTTCTTTCTGTACGCCTGAATTATCCTATTAGATTCTGCTTTCTCTTACCCCCTATTTTTTTTTTTTTTTTTTTTTTTTTTTTTTTTTGTGCGTGTGTGTAGAGGAGAGGGGATTGAAAATTATGTATGCAACCAAACAAAAAGACGTTGTCAGGCTAGCATCACCTAGAAATGCAGTAGTGATATCAGATCATGAGATGTTACATATTTTATGCCCAAAGTTTTGAATCTTATATTATATCGTAAATATTATTCGAGAGCTAAATTTTTTACAGTGTGACAAATTAAATTCGGCATTTCCAAAATGGCAAAAATCAGTTTGTGTTAAAATAAATAAATGAAACTAAGTTCCCATTAAACAACTTAGTTTTAAATTGATTACAGGATGATGAAAATTATTCCATCTTTGGGATAATGATTTTAATGAATGACAAAATATCTGAACAACACTTTTTTTTTCTGTTGTTTTTATGTTCAGATTAAATGCTTAATAGCTATATGCATGAAGCTGACGAATATCTGCAAGTTAGAGGCTTTTATTATTGATCTGTAATTGGGTCAGATCAAATAACACTTTTTACAGCATTTAAAATAGATTTCTTTGTTTTTTAATAATCTTCACAAAGGACATAACAATAAAGCTCATCACATTTAGTCAGCAAAAAATTAACTCCATAATACATTGAAGTAAACAAAAAGTTAGTTGTAAACTGTATGAAGCGATTAACCTCTGTTATGGAACCCCGTAGCCCCTCTTCGTTGCAGCTGTCTCTTTGGCCCAGGACAAAAACCTCACAATACCACCCATTCTTCTTGTTACCCCCCCCTCTCTCTTCTATTTCTACCATTCTAGTAAGATGCTCCCCCTGAACATCCCCCTTTCGACGCTGATTCATTGTGAGCGTGCCGCTTTTTACGCTGACAAACATACGGCTTTAAATCTACAGCTACTGAATACATACGGCGATTGTGCTGGGAGAGCATGTTGTTGAAGGTCCGTTGGAGAGTTTAAATTGAAAGTTAGGAAAGGTTTGAATCCAGATTCCCCCCCCCTTTCCCTCATGCGCGTGTGCCGCTTAAAAACATAACAGATTCCTATTTGGAACAACTGAGAGATTTAATAAACTGTGGCAAATTATACTCTTTAAATTCCAAATTTTCTATCTGAAATCTGGGAAACCGCTATTTTTCAAGCGAGACAAATATTTGAATATAAACTCCCACAAATAGCTATAGAGGTTGTTTTTACAACACAGTAACTGGTTTTCAACAGCTGACTAATAAAATATTTACTACTTCTGCTTGTAAACAAACTATTCAGGTTCGAAGACTCCAAATGCTGCGAAAGGAGCTCTTTAATCGTATAAATTATAAATATCCATCGTTTAAGACGCAGTTTGATCTCCTTAATTTATTCATACGGCAAATTAACTGATGGGTTGTAGAAGAACTTCCGTTACTCATTTAGTATAGCGAAATGCATGTGTAGAGTTTTTGTCCACCCATGAATTTCAGTTTACTAATGAGTAATGGAAATCTATTTACTAATGTGCAACTGACTAAAATCAGTAACTAAAAATGAATGGGCAGAATGACATATAACAACAAAGTTTAACATAGTAGTATTATTATCAATCGCTAAACAAGTTATTTTTATCACCAAACTGAAAATAAATTAAAGCAAACCTTCTTTAAAATAATCCAGAATTATTTAAAAGCTCTTAATAGCTTTTATAACTTTCGTTTATTTGCAATTTAACCAAAGTATAAAAAAGAGTTTTTAATCTCTTCTCTTTAATTAATAATAATAATAATAATAATAATAAACATCTTTCTTCGTAAATTCTTTATCCGAGCTAGCATGCTTTACACTAAGAAATAATACTACTACTTAAATAAATTAAAGTTTCCACTTCTTAATGAATATTAATTATTCAGCTGAAATTACATAAGTTCTTTTTAAGCTACAGGTCCTACTCTGCAAAGTTTACTAGCTGATTGCATTGAAATTTAATTTATCCACATTAAATAATTAAAATTTTTTTCGGGGGTGTTGCGAGTTTTTTACGTACATAAATGCTTCACGACTTATGTCACTTTGAAAACATGAGAAAATAGGTTCGTTCAAAATTCTGGAAAAATAAAATTAAATATTCTTACTTTCGGTTTTCAGGAAATTAGTTATGCCGACGGCAGAATCGAAATACAGAAGACTCATTTTTATTCTTCATGGGTAAAATGTAAAGCTCGAAATAATGCTCTCTAAGTATATAGAGAAAAAACAATACAGTTCAATTACAGGGAATCCCGAACAGAAAAAAAGGTACAAGCCCAGTAAAAATTACGCTTACGTTCAAAAATGTAAATATTTACATAATATTGGTGCTGCCATCTAGTGTTCAAATTAAAAGCAATTTGTGATTTGGAAGTATTGTAGAAGCAATTGTTAATGAACTTTCTATTAATATGTCTTTAGCCTTTCTTTTTTCAAATACATCCTAATAAAACATTTTAGTTGTTTATATATGAATATATATACATTAGAATTTTTTTTTATTTTGTCCTAAATTTATACATTCATGAGTGCTAAAATTAAAAGGACGAATCTATTTATTATTGATTTGAAATATATATTATATCAATTTAAATTCTAGCAACTGAAAATTTATTTATAAAATTCTAAATTAACATTTTTCTAACTTAATATGATCAATTTTTCAAAAATTTTATAAAATACCTCACGAAGCATTTAAGAATGTTGACTACGATTTTGAATCTCATTAAACATTAACGAAATTTTAGTTTATGTTTAATTATTCAGGTTGGTCTTTTTTTTTGCCCCTACTGGAAACTTAATTTTGATTTAAGAGAGTTCTGAAATTCTTAAACTGCTTCTTAACTTTTCCAGTTTTTAAAAATTTGATCACTCTTTAAAAATCATCTACTTAACAAAATTAATTTTCTTTGAATATAGGGGTAATCCCAAGTTAACCTAGGTACATCACGCAAACAAACTTCTCCATCTGTCCTCAAAGGAAGGTCCTGAATTGTTATGCAGTGTAAGAGAAACCTCGATGTCTCTGAAGTGGTAAGCAATGAAAACATTTTCTTTTACTCTTCTTATATACGGTGTTTATAGGAAATTTCCTTTCATAAAAATATTCTTACTGGACTCTCTTCGTTATTGTGTATTGTTAAAATAATGTTTTGAAAATCCTTTATGAACATGAATAAAAGTTTCAGTACAAAGAATGAAATGAAATAAACTTATTAACTGACTTAATTATTCTCAATCTTATCATTTTTATTAACTTTTGTTCAAAGATTCATATTATTGCAATAATTGATAAAATTGCAATAATGTGGCAAAAATAACTAACGAAATCACTTAACTGTATTAAATACACATTTGTACTTCGAAGTTGAATATTCAGTTTCTGGAATCTTAATCGTTTTTATAGAGTTTTATTTATTACTTTTTAATATCAGCTGGAATTTTTAAAATGGTATGATTCGCAATTTTTACCACTTTTCTCCTTTAGGGTTAAATATATCTAGTTTAATGGCATATAAATATTCGACATATATGAGTTATCAATAATTAACTGCGAGTTTAGGGGTTAATTTATATTTTCAAAATTATTTGCGAAATCCCGCTCTTTGTTTTCTTTCCTTTAAATAAATAGATATTTTGAGAACTAACAGCATGGCCATTTTACTGTAAAAATTATTTTATTACTATTAGCGAATCCAAAACAATTAAAGTTTCGGGTATCCGTAGACAACTAAAACTGAATCATTCTTGGTTATATTTGAAGACTATTGAGGTTCTTTGAGTTTTATTTCTCAGCTGCGAACTTTTATTTTCTGATCAGCTGAAGATTGGTGATAACAAAAACCAACTGCGGTCGTGAGTACAAGGCGAAACAGATTCTACATGGAAAAGAAGTTACCAAATTTAGCTTCTTTTCCAGTGAGTGTCGATATACATAAAAAATTTTAAACTCTTTGATTAAAATACTTGTAGTTGTTTTTTATCCGTCTATGCGTAGGGTTACAAATTAAAAAGGATCTTTCTTTAAAGACATTTGACGAACAGGAATGAATATTATGGATAAATAAAATGAAAAAAAAGTTCTCGCAGAATTACGTATAAGGTTGCAGTTAATCAAGGGAAGAGAAAGGGGTGAATAAAAGAAAGTGGGAAAAATATGAAACAGTAAGATGAAACGGTAATGGAAAGAAGATTTTTTTCGGTTACCTAGAATATTCTAGGTTACAGAAACGAATATTGCTATTAATGTGTCTTTTCACTATAATGAAATGCATTGATCGAATTTAAAAAACACCGAAATTATATATATTTTTTTATCATATATATTTTTCTTAATATGTTAGAGTGCATCAGGTTGATGAGCGCCTTTGTTAGAGAATCCTGCAATAGGAAGTAGAATATTCTAGGTAATAAAGAAAAAAAAAAAAAAAAAAAAAAAAAAACTTGCTATGAATGTGTCTTTTTACTATAATGAAAATCATTTATCGAATTTACGCATATAAAATCGCAGACATTATATATATATTTTTACTATACATATTTTTCTTAATATGTTAGAAAGAATCCAATTAATGAACGCTTTCGTAAGAGAATCCTTGCTGTGTTACTGAATACTGTGTTAGGGACCGAGTTCTTAGCAGAAAGGAAATTATATGTCCAAATCTCGGCGAAAGTCCAAGACTTAATTATAGCTCCCAGCTACAGTAAAACTCTTTTTGAGGTAGAAAGGGCTTCCACTGACACATTCGGTTGGGGCACATTCCACACCAAATGTGAAAGACGAAAGTACATAGGTGTCTTCAGTCGGTGAACGTTCAGGAAGATGTTACGAGAGCTTGCTACTTCTTCTGGATGTGCAGTTATGTAAGAAAGTTCTGTTGTATAGACATGTGTATCTAAGTACATATACTATATTTCTGGGCGTACTTTCCTCGAATACACCTGTACATATTGCTATTGTTATTTCTTGCATGAATATCTAGACAAATAGTTAAGTCGGCTTAGAAATTGGTAGGCAGTGATCTCGAAGGTAAGTCTGGTTTTATTTCATGAAAATATGTATTAAGAAATCAAGAAAGAAAAAGGCTAGGCAAAACTACTGATCCTCGACAAAAAGAGCTTATCTTCTACCAGTCCATATCTTCCAGCACAGGATCCGAACATTCTTCGTTACGAAATTCGACGTGTCTCAACTTATTAACAAGGTAAGTACAAAATATTTTTATTTAATATTTTTAATAATAGAAATACTGTCAATATGTGCTTTTTTAAAGGTAGGTACTTTTAAATTGAGGATTTATCACATAAAATCGTTAATTTTTTAATTAAACAAATATTTCATCGTTAGCATTAATTCAGAGTTGTTATTGCCCAGTTTCGCTTTTGGCCAGTGCCCAGTTTGAAAAAATGTCGAGTTTCACTTTTATTTCCATTTCTAAGCACACATTTCCTCATCTCAAAGGTGCTAGAAATATTTGATTCTCCAAGACCCTTGAATGCCTAGAAAATGCATTCTACCTTTCTGAAAAGACTGTTAGTGAAATGAAAAGAAAAGAAAAGCAATTTAAAATGTAACTGAAATAAATAATTTGCCGTTAAATTCTCCCCTTTCAAATAAATCAAAATCCTGAAAAACCAAATGGCTATTTTATTTTTAGAGTACCTTCTGTCAGAACACTCTGTCAGTTATTCTCATAATGGTGTTCTCTTATCCTTCCGAGGGAGTTGAAAACCTTGCAATGCTTTGTTTTTGCTAAAAAGCTTGTCCTCTTCAGGGAATAGATTTGATGAGCATTCTTTGTACCCAAGTCAAAATTTTGCTAGTTACAATCTCGTTCATATTTTCAGAGCTTTTAAGAAAAAGTAAGTAATAATAAATAAAATAAAATGCGTACACACGCCAGGTCATTCCTATACTGTTGGGTTTTACACGTCTTGCATGTTCAGTACTTGTTTTAGTATTTACCCAATAACGCATCTCCGAGAAGAAAATATGAGCAAGTAGGCCACCAATTCTTCAAAAAATTAAATAGACGACAGAGTCTGTTTACATAGTTACAAAAGACCATGAAACGAATTTGCTTTTACGGCAAAGCATGTAAGGGTATTTGCTCTAAGGTTAATTTTCGAGGATATTTTCCAGAGAAAATTTACTTGTACTATATTATACCTAAGAAAAACAATGAAGGTTTTGTATAATTACCCAGTTTCAGTTTCGACGCAATTATCATTGAACAGCAAATGTATTCCCTCGGGCTGCTGTTACTGAGAGACATGATTGCGATTTAAGTTACGGAAATGTGTTTTTTCTTTCAATAGGCAAATAAATCCTCGAGAAAAAAATATTTTGCTTGTAATTTTCTTGAGTTATTATTATTAATAGAACTTAATAAATATATTAAAGAAGATTATGAATTATTTCAAAGCATTTCTTCTCCTTCCCTTGTTATAAAGAAGTTTATCGACCTTTGGATATTTTACAATATACCATAAACTTTCAAATTAAAAGTGACTTTTTAACTTAGTTATTGAGCACCGAGAACTTATATATGAACAATTTGCATGTTAAGTTAGGACTTTTATATTATCTTTGAAAAGTTCTAATTTGAGCTCAGGAAACGGAAAACAGCAGAAGCAAGAATTTTAATTTAATCTCAAGTAGAAATTAAACTTCAAGTCGCAGAAAGATCTCGTGAGCAAAAGCAGTTGATAAAATTATTCTGCTATGTTTTGCTGCAAAATACTTCTCAAACCATTCCGACAGCATAGGCAAAATTTGGGGCAAAATGAAATAGGAAATAATCTTGATTTATGTGTAATAATAAGCTGTATAATTGGAAAATAAATTTATGCTCCTTAATACTTTTTTGAATGATGCAATAAGCATACTAGTATTAGTGCACTTAACTGTATACACTTTTTTAACATTTATGGATATTTGTTCCTAGAGGCAGAGCCGGATTGTCCAGCAGAATTGATACTTTTTTTTAAAGAAATAAGCTGAATAATCAAATAATTCGTTCATATTTATAACTTGCTATGCAATTTTTGTAATAATTGCAGCTGAGTAATATCTAGAGCCCGAAGTATTCAAATAACATTATGCTTTTGATGTGGTAGGAGCTATTTTATTCGGCCCTGCCTACAGGACAATCATTTATTAGTTTTTAGTTGATCAAAATTTTTATTTATTTTTTAAATTAATCAGCAGCAATAAAGCATAAATTTATTTTTTTAAAATCCGTAGATTGATGGACTTTTGCTCACGGGATCGTGATACGGATGATTGCCTAACCTTTTCGAACGCAATGGTCACCTTCAGGAATTGACCAAATGCATAGCTCCCCCACATGCTGAAGAGAGCACCTAAGGAAGAAGACTGACAACACTACATTTTTGACTGATATTTGAGAATACACCCTTCGAAATATTTTTAGAATGACAAATAACTCAATATGAGACATGGCATAACATCAGTACTTTAGCAAGCATGTAAATTCGAATATTAGATGCAATTTATTTCACAATTGTACAGCTTTTCATCATTGAGTGCCTTCATTTCTGATGCCTCGAAAATCTCAAAACGATGAAAAATAAAATATTTTTAATTAACAGTGTGAGCTTTCAATTTGCCTTGCTTTCTTGTGTGTAACTTCTATATTGTTCTTGGAAAAAAACTGCAAATAAAGTAGCTTTATGTTATTTACTGCTCATTTTCAATGTAACGAATAACATAAATCTAAGTATTTTGTAAAAATAAATCCAACATGTGTATGCATGGCGCATATTAGGGAGTATATAGCTTCATCATAGCAAGTATTTTACATATATTGTAATTTGTCTCTCAGCACGTATAATACTTAATAATAAGTCTAAAACTAAGCTAAACGTCTAAGATATTTTTAATATGTTTATATAATTGAATTTCGTTCTAAAAATTGTATTAATGAATTTTTTTCGCTTATCACATACTTAGTGAAGTTGCTACAATGAAATCTAGTTTTTAATTCTCCTGTTAAATGTTAGGACATCTGCTGTTCTCTCTCATATCAACAATTCTAATATTTGTTGTTTTCTCTCCCGTTAACTGTAAGAATGCTACCTCCTTTCGATATAAGTTGCTGACAGTAATAACGTATATAAAATGTTAGGTTATTTTAATATAACAAACAACACGAGTGCTATCTTTCTAAGGGTTGGATATCTTCATAGAGGACTTAGGAAGAGAAACTGGCTCGTATTCACGTTTTACGTAGAAAAAATCACAAAAACCAATCATGCAGCTAACCCATTCGCCTGGTTTCTAACCCAAATCGAATTATCAGTATTTTGCGATCATAACCATGCGGCCACTGGTAGGGTTATACAAAAAGGTGGGTGTAATCGTAAGTATTTCTTTGCATTGTTCACTTGCAGTTCTTTGATAGATAAATAATGTAACGAAAATTCTAACTATTATATTTTTGCAAATAACACTGATTTGTAAATAATTAATCTGATGTTGCAAAATCAGTAAAATTCTACCCTTAATATATACCGAACTTTTCCAAAGGACAACATAAATTCGCGAATTCTTCCTTGCAGATTGCTGCTTAATCGTTTTCTAACTAATTAAATTTAGTTGTTTTTAGAGTTTGTATGCATAATTTGACTCACATTTGTCAGATGGTAAAACCTTAATGAATTTTTAAATGTATTTTGACGAACGAACCTAGTAGTATTGTTGTCAGATTGTCTAATTACGCGACTCCATTCTAAGAAATTGTACAGAACTGATTAACGCTGTTGATACGTCAGTTGGTAAAAACCTCTAGGCCCCCCTGACCAGTATGGCAATTAGCGATGTCGTCTGCTATATCGTTGGGTTTGGATTCGAATTCCGATGAAGGCTTGGTTGTTTGTAAATGTATAATGTTTTTTAGGCATAAGGTAATTAAAATATCATACAGGCTAAAGTCTTTTCGAAAGGTTCTTAGTAGAGAAGAAGGTTAGGAAACCCTTTGAACCGTCACCTGGGGCGCTCTCCATCAAAACTAAGATGGAGCTGGTCTATGATTTGAGCTCAGGGTTTAGTTCATGGGTTTCAGAAATTAGTAATTTCTAGCGAAACTTGAATATCATTCGGAAGGCAAGCCTAACTTGATGAGTCATAGGAAACTATTTTAGGGCACACTGATACACATAGTTGGGAAAACACTCACTATCTTCTATAAATAGCCCAAGGTTTGGGCAACAATATAGCTCATTTATCCTCTTGGTCATGATAAATTCGTGGAAGTGATCTGGATTATGTTGAGATCAAGAGGATTAGTAACAGTAAAAAGAGCAACTGTCCATATAGGTGAGGTCGTAGGCTCCCTTCCCAGGCGTGGGTCATTTCTTTATAGTATGTTCCAGATTTTCCCCGATATAAACTGCATTTGACTTCGGCTATAACAGCTGGATATGTTAAGCATCTCCAGGTTCATACTTGGTTGTTGAATTACATTATTACGATTTACAATACCCTTTTAATTTAGGTCACTAAAGTCTAATACACGTGCTCGAAGCAGTGACGCATTCCCTTTAGTCACGCGTAGCATGCTCATCCCCTTCTATTCCTATTAGGGAAAGACACAGAAGGGGATGATCATTCATTTCCTAGCAATGAATTATTAGATAATGAAATGCACGTTGCGCCTGTTTCAGAAATAGAAGGGGAAGGCAAAAGTTTGCAAATTACCACTGTACATATTGTGACACACATAATGAGTTTTAGTTGCCACTTCCGAATTTTAACCTAGATGATGTTAGCTCTATTTCAAATGTGTTTAAATATGATTTAAATTTAATGGTTCGATGGCTGTTATGCATTTACGTTAAATCTGCTTTAAACCAAAAGGATTAGGATCAGGATTCTACTATCTGTTGCTGAGAGAAAATCCCTATATTCGGATTATTCTGACCGTTCCCAGAGCACCAGGAGCATAGAATCTTTATTAAATGCTCGGCAGGTGTGGATGACGCATGTACTGTTGTGACGTCATGTTCTTTATTTCATCATTCATCATCCCTTCACAGAAGGGTGCGGTTTATTTCCACGGGAATATGTCGCTCTGATGGACATTCCCGCCCCCTAGCAGTTTAGCTGTTAAGAAATAGTTATGATCTAAATCTTTGTGCTGGAATAAAATTTTCACTAGATACTAAAAAGCATTAGAAATGTAATTCAGTAATAATACGATTTACTTAAAGACGGCAAAAGAAAAGATTAACTAAGGGAAAAGAATTTGCTAATTCAGATTCTCGCGCCAAAATATAAAATATATTATGTCTACCTTAAATTGTAATAACTAAATTTGAGGGAAATGCTTTAAGTTGTATTATTACGTTGAGGGGAGAAAAATTACCGAAAATTTTAATTTTTGTTTTTTCCTGTGTTCTCCAGCAGATAATCTTTATTAACTTTCTATTTCATCTTTAAATAAATAAATAAATAAATAGCAAATACACTGTGCTTTTATCATTTTTTAATTATGAAAATAAAGCAAGTACAGTAGAAATTAAGAAATTAACATATGTGACATATTATTACTGTTTTCTTCCGTATTCAAAATATAAAACTTTATTGAATTTTTTTAATCTTATTTTCGATCGTAGCGGAGGCTAAATTTTTGAAATTTTATATGCAATAACTAATATATTAAAAATTAAACATCTTAGCAGAAGGCCTTAAAAATCTTTATTTACTAAAAGGGATTTCTTTAGTACTGTGTGTAATATTTTGATTATTTTTTAATATTTTAAACGAAAAATTAGAGTACCTAATTACTGAGAAAGAGTTTTCAGGGCACTAAATATGCTCTAAAATAACGATGTGTGACTTGGAATTTACCTTCTTTAATGTGAAGCTGTCTGAAATTTCAAACCCCGTTTCTTGTACTCGTCATATTACCAGAATGCTTTACCATATTACCAGAATGCAATTTCGTTCAGAAATTTGATTGTTTTTCCAAGTTCTCTAATTTTACTAAAAGGCTCTTTGAAGATACTTTTCAAGAAAATTAATTTGAGTTAATTTAATAAGTAGTGCTTAAATTTTAAGTAGTAATTTTTTCTTTTAATAATATTTTTTAATCTTCAGCTAATCTACTAATAAATAGGTCAGATAACTTCAACTGTCTTTAGTACTGTTTCTACCATCCACAATCTTATGCTTTGCTAAATTCATTTAGCCTCTATATTTTAATTGTTTTCTTCTTGCGAAAATCCACCAAATTCTGATTCATCCTTATTTTTAATAGAAAATTAGGAGCAGATACATTTCCGATCCAAAATCGCCAGTATATTTCATGGTATAGGTTTTGCCAGGGTATTTTATAAGTACATTTATTTATTCAGTATTCTTACCCTGATTCTGAGTGGTTACATGGTCTTAGGTTAGGTAAATGGTTATGGTGAAACACATGAAGGCTGTTTGAAATGTATTGGTTTTCATAAGGATTTTCTCAGAAAGTTGGTTCTTATTTACACCCAACACCTGAAAAACCCGAAAGTATTCATAACATCTGCTCTTTTAACCATGAACTGAATTTCAAATGTAACCACCAGTATACAGTCGATTTACTCTCACAGTCACAAGTGTTAGAGTTAACTTCAGTCCCGTTTAAAGTAATTCTGCTTGAACAAGTTTCAATTCACTTCACTTGAAACTTTCTGCGAAACACTTACTGTTAATAATCAGTGAAGCGGCAGAAGGAACTAAAGGCCTGCATAGTTACATGAACTTTAGAAAATTACACTTTTCTTTCGTAAGAAAATGCGAGTTTATATCATAATTACCCTTAAAGATTTTTTGTTTCTGGTGTATTGCAGTATTATAGTATAGACATTTTGTTTTCACGATGTCAATTATTTTTTTTTTCCTTTCTAATTTAAAACAACCAGACTCCACTAAAAATTTGCTAGTATTGCTTAATAATGGCATGCGTATTTTGAATATTTAAAAATGATTCTGAATGCCGTAACCAAGCTAGCAAGTAAAACCTCAAATTATCATTGCATTATTGTTATTTCTTTAAGAAATGCCAGTTTATGTACTTACTTGTTTAAAATGTGTAATTATATACGCAATTAATGCCTTAAACATCCAGATGTCCTCTTTCAGATCTTTTTAGGATTCATGATGACTTCCAAGCCAAAAGGAGGAGTTAAGAAGGTGATATAAAATCCTTTGATATCAGATTATGTTAATTATGTCGACGCCTCGGGAAAATTATTTCGTAAGTTGAACTCCGTTACAGTAGATTATAGGATGCTAAGATGTTTTGCGCTTATTACTATTTTTTCCTTATTAATCTAAAGAGATATTTGGCTTGTTCAGAATGTACATATTTCATAGCACGAACCTAGGCTCTTTTTCAGACATTCTATCATAAAGAATCTTAGCTTTGCTTTTCGATACAATATATTACTTAGTATGTTATTTGTCTGATTTTTTACATTATGATGAACTACTGTAAGGCCAATTTCAGACTCTTCGTTATTAGCATTAAATTCGTTCTTTTTTCTTTTCACGCCCTTAACCTGAAAATAAAATCTGATAACAGATAAGATTTTTATGAAAACCAAACAT